GACTCCAAGTATGCTGCGTTTCATTCTACGTTACAAACCCCATGCTTGGACTTCTGAATGTCCATCACAGATCACGTATGAGCTCTGTAGGTAAGGATGGGGAGAATGCACATGTTCATAAGCTTGCGTTTCAAAGAAAAAGTCACCTTTCATGAGGTCTTTTATAGCCCAATAATAGCTTTTCAGGCGTTCTCAGACCGTCTTTCGATTTCTTTATTTTGTCTCGCCTGAAACAAGATTATTTGGCCTAAGTACCTACTAGACTTGGACATTTGCTATTTTCTCCCCATCCACTTCCACAATTTGCTCAGTGCGATTTGTCATGACCTTAGTCTTTGACATGTTCATCTGCAGTCCAACCACGAGGCTTGCCTAAGATTGTATTGCTTGTAGCATTTTTTGTAGCTCAGAGGCCGCTGAGGAAAACAGGATGATACCTTCTTCTTAAAAACTGCAAAATCAGCAGTCGCTTCGGGTGTTCTAATTGTTCTCGCTAGCTGTGAGGCAGTGCTGCAGGCTGCGGTGCTTACACGTGGCATTCCACAGCAAACACTTGCTTTTTTTCAAGGGCACCAGTCATGCCATCAGGTCTTTTCCCGTCCGAGCGTCTAAACCTCCGAGGGTCCAGTAAACAGGGAATATTGGCTGTTAATAGAGCTCTCCGGACAAAAACGTTCAAAGCGTGATGACGTGGTGACGTCCCTGAGCAGTTACAGCAGCTCAAGGCGTGGTGGCCGTTGCTCTCAAACATGGCGTCCACAAACATTGCAGCGCAGGCGTAGAGCAACTGGTACGCGCAGTGAGCTGTCATCGAGAAGGGTACCCAAATGTGGCGAAGGCAGTGCATGCAGCCATGCTCCTGACTCAGGTTGAGACACTGCCTTAAACCTCGCAAGATCTACCTCGACAGCACCTTCGAAGACCCCTTAGCTCCACATCGTCTCAGAAACGTTGGCTGTTCAGGTCATCTGGAGTGGAAGCGGAATGGCTTAGAGCTAACCACGCCGCCAAAGTTTTGCGGTTGGTTTACAATTTTTCTTCTGGTAGCCGTGGTGGTAATTTTCAGCTGACTATTGAAAAAATCCTACATAAAATGTAGAGTGAAATTTTACTAGTGACCGATAGCGAAAACTCAGAACCGGCTGGTGATGAGTCGTTTAGAATACGCAACTAATTGATAAATCCCTATGAGCACGCGGGCTAAAGCGCGGGTAACAGCTAATTTTGAATAATATTATCAAGGTATGTATTACAAATTTGAAAATTTTGCCTGTTTATCAGTGGCATATAGTTTGAATAACGGTTGACACACAAAGTTTGTTTAGTTTCGTGATTATAAACAAGTTTACCTATGAACAAGATAAGAATAAAAATTAAAATTGAAAAAATGTCCGGGTAATATTCCCAAAGTTTCCGGTAATTTAGAAGTTTACTGGGTATTTTACTCGGGGAATATTCCCAGTAAATTACTAAAACGGGAACGGCACATTGCTACCCTGGGCACGTGCCCATTGTGCCCAGTGGAGAAGAGGGGCCTGCGTAAAAGGACATAGCTCGTAAAACCAGTGATAGATTGGGTAGGAAAGTTCTAGAGCGGCTGCCATGCATCGAATAGCAACATAACACGGCCTCCAACCAGAAAGCGCTATTTAACTTGTTGCGGCTTGCAAACAAACGGTGGATATAGTTAGTTTATACCTGAAAAAAAAAACTATTTTATTAAATTCAGACCTACAATAGCCATGCCCGTATAAGTGCTGTGGGTTTTTACTTTGTGTATTTGTTGCCAGTCTGGTTAGAACTTTGCAGGCTGACTGATCTACCTGCTTGGCTGAAAAGAAAGATGGTTTCGTACCTACTTCGAAAGGTCAATCCATTAGTTTTTCAACATACATACATACATACATCACGCCTTTATCCCTTGCGCGGTAGGCAGAGCGTCAACGAATGAAAAAAAATACGGTTGTTATCGCCACGTCTGAGAAATAGTTTAGGGCAGTTTTAGCTATTTGTCGTGTATCACTATCTATAGTGACAGGTTGTCTGCCTGTCGGCTAACGGCAATACTCATCAACTCTCAAATCCCTTAGTCGCTGCTTACGACACCTGCGGGAAAGATATGGGGTGATGTTATTCTAAGCCGGTATCACATCATAAGGCAATTTGTTTTTCAAACGCAGAATTAGGTATTATCGTTTCATCATTTCTTTATTTTATTGCCGTGTGATGCCGGCTTAGAATACCCACGGGAAAGATGTGGGGTGGGATGCTATTCTAAGCCGGCACTGCTAGTTGTAGGCGGTATAAGAACTTACTCCGTTCATGCTGTTTCGGGCCGTTTTTATCCCACACGATAGTAATTTTTTTTTATGTTGTTTTACAAACGGCATAATATTATATTTTCATCATTCCTTTATCTCAACACAGGAACTTCTTCGCCGACATGGTACGTACGCTCGAGCCGCCATTACCTCGACATATACCGAAGTACGCGTCAGAAATTGAAGAGAATATGCTGAAAGATCTGTCCGCTACAGAAGTTTTGAAGGAGGTTATTGGTGAGAATAGAAAAGATTAATATGTTAACCCTTAGTGCGCGAACTCTCGAATCAGGAGTGAATTTACCGAGCGCAGCCGCCATTTTATTAGATTATACGCGTCTGTCAGAGGTTTTTGCTGCCTTTCCTCTTTTTGCTGGAAACCGGCACTTACATGAATTTTGCAAATACTTTTCTAATTTTTGAAGCCGGAAAGGAAATGTGTTTCCTTCCTAAAATGAGAATTATGCTAGATGCGCCATAACATATTAGGTGAATTTTTACTACTGACCGATAGCGAAAGCTCAGAACCGGCTGGTGATAAGGAACAACTTTCCTGAAGGAACATTTACAACGTGTTACAAAACAACCAATAAATCTCCCATACAAAGTGAGTTCATTTTGTATGGGAAGCTCAATTTTTTTTTTCATATTTCGACTTATGTTCCATAGGGAAAGTTCTTCAGTTTCATGCGTACCTTTAACTCCTTTCAGCTTTATTGGTTGTTTTGTGACACCTAGTATAAGTCGATTACCTAACTCAAATCAGCCGACCCGGCCAAATTTCCTAATTCTCATTATTTCGACCTATGTTCCTTGGGGAAAGTTGTTCCTTACCACCAGCCGGTTCTGAGTTTTCGCTATCGGTCATAAAATTCACCCTATTTTCAGACAATGCCAAACTAAGGGTTAACCACGTTATAAGTATTTTATGCGTAAGTACATTATGAAACTGCTGATTTGTACTGATACTTTAGTATGTATTTTAAGCTGGTAGCCAAAGTGTAGGTACAAAATCGTCTTACAGTGTATAAAGCAGTAAAGATTGTTAGCGCGTAAGCGCCTGATAAAAGTAATGTAGCATTTAGAAAACTATCAGTTCAAATATTTGCGCTTTAAACTGTGGCAGGCGTTTCTGGGAAAGTATTGTCGATGTTTTGTGTAGTTTTAAAAAGCCCTATTATTAGTTTATTATATAATATCTGGAAGAATTCTTTGATTTATTAAGATAGCAGCCTTTGTTGCAGTCCAATGCAGGTTAGTAGATAAAAAAAGCCGATTTGTACCGATACTTTATAATATGTAAAATAGGTAGTCAAAGCGCTCAAAATTGGCATACCGCCAGCCACATACAGAGTGTAAATCAGTGAAGATTATAAGCGCACAAGTGCCTGATAAAAGTAGTGACAGGGTCCTTATAGGACTCTCCACAGACATAACAAGAGGATATAGCAATTAGAAAAAATATCAGATCAAATATTTGCGCTTTAAACTGTGGCGGGCGTTTTTGAGAAAAGTAAATTAAGTAGTAAAAAAGTTCTTAAAAGCTCTATTAAACTGATTTCTACATTATAATATAATAACTCGAATTATTCTTTGATTTTGGTTCGATAAGATAGCTGCGCTTTGTTGCTGTCCAATGCAGGTAAAGTAGGTAAAGCAAACAATCACTGATAGATAGTTTGTAGGCTCGAGTATCTATTGGCCAGTTTTCATTTACAAAGCACAATGGAAGCTTGCAGACACATTCACGCGACACAATAGTACCTATGTAGTTATACGGGATGTTAGGGACGGCCTAACGAAAACTTTGCAGGCGTGCTCAGACCATGAAACTGAACAACTTTTACTATGAAGTCATAGGTGGGGAACGAAAAACATTTTCTGTCCTCCCATACAAAGTCAGTCAGCTGATCGTGAATTTTGTATGGGAGGTCGGAATTTTTTTTTCGTTTCCCACCATTGGTTCCATAGTAAAAGTTGTTCAGTTTGATGGTCTGATCATGCCTGCAAAGTTTTCGGTACACCGTCCCTAACACCCTGTATACGGGGTGTAAAGGACAGCTCTTCGTATACCTTCATAATTCAAGGGTACATTTAAACCATGAAACTGAACAACTTCCCCTAAGAAAATATTATATGAAACTTTACAAAAAATTTGACCTCCCAAACGAAATCACGATCTTCACGATTGCTATATAAATTTACTAAGGGAAATCAAACCTGTTCTAACTTTTTAGACGCACTCTACCTACTTATAGCTTGCTTATAATAACTCTAAGTAATGCATTCTATAAGTATTCAGAGAGCTGTTCCTTACACCTTGTATACTACACACTGTTGCTGTTGGATATTCTGTGCCGACACGACATGTCTGTCGATACGCGACACTTCCGGCGATGGTTAGTTTTCATTACCAAAGCACAAAAGCATACAAAAGCCCCCAGGTACAGTCAGACACATTCCCGCTGTCACGACGAGCCTGCCGACACTCGATTGTTCGCTGCAACACGTCCGGCGACATGACACACGTCGTGATGGGTGACCACGAACGGTAAACCGGTAAACGTATGTTTTTGTTTATAGTTTAAGTTTTGTACTTCAAACTTTTTACCGCCTAAGTGACGGGGTAAAAGAGGTAGTTATTAACAGTCAGAAAGATACAGTAGTTTTTGGAAAAATTGCGCAGGCTGGACATGAACCAGCGACCTTCGCTACCTGTACTAGCGACGCTTCTACCAACTGGGCTACAGCAGCCATTCAAACTATTTTCCCCCTAAGTGACGGAGACAAAGAGGTATAGTAAAAACGCGTTAGCTTGGCAATAGCGTACATTGACACGACCGGTACCAAAAACAAAATTTTTGGGCGATAATTATCGCTCTCCATACAAACTATCGCTAGAATTCACATCACTAAAGTATCATAATACCGGCCAATTCGGGTATTCCCCAGCACAACCCGGCGTCATTCCACAACCATATATCCAAAATTTTCAAAAATGAGTGTACTTGTAGCCAATTCGAAAAGTTGTTATTTTAACTATTACTTTTATATGTCGATAATTTTTGCAAACTTTTGAAATGAGTTCAATTCTATAACATACGTTTTAAAATATTGCCCAAATTTATTCTCTAATAAAGGTATAATACCTTAAAATAAAAAATATTCTGGGTTGCAATTATAATTTTAGCAAATAGGAAGCCAAAAGCTTTACAAAATACATTTTACCATAAATAAATATAAAGCAAAATTGTTGACACTAAAACAAAATTTTTGAGTTACATTGTTTTGTAATGAGCCCCTAGCTGGCCAGAGGATGCCAGAGGTGCGGTCCGTAGGCTCGCATTTGTTTTCATTTTGATCGATCGTTGTCTCATTTCGTTCTGAAGTGCGTTTGCGTTCGGTCACGTTGGAAGTCTTTCTTGCTGTTTTCGGTGTTTTGGTTATTGATTGTTTGATTAGTTTTTTTTTGTTAATTTACTTGTTAGTCATCTGTTAAATTAAATCTGCCCTACTTCGCTGGTTTGGACATGTCGAGAGAATGGGAGGATCTTGCGGCAAAGAAGACATACCTGGGTCAACTACATGGACAACGTCCAGTTGGGCGTCCTAAGTCTCGCTGGATTGACGAAGTCCAAAAATACCTGGGAGCGCTTCAAATGGCCGATTGGCGACAAGCAGCTCAGAACAGGGAAAAATAGGGAAACCTAGTGTCGGAGGCCAAGATCCACTTTGTGTCGTTCAGCCAGCGAAATAAGTATAGTCGAATTTTTAATTCTATTCAGTAAAATGACAGATGCCGACAAAATAATGATACCAACTGCATATCACTAGTGACGTACTTCAGTTCGGTTTTTAAGGTCAGGTGAGCTGATTCATTCAAACCTCATACTCAGGTCACTTACATTTATTTATTGATTTTCTACAAAAATGTTATACTCTAATATAAAAAAAGTGTGTCACTTAGTACAGGAGACCCAATTCATTTATTTTCATATTTTGAAGAAAAGTTTCTAATAAATGTTATTCAGTTTTGTGAGAAAAACACGTCCTTAAAATTATTGAACTTATATTGTAACCAAATACATTTATTGATTTAATAACTATGAATTATGTCACTAGATGAGTGATTGAATTTAATCTTTTAGCACATCACTATTTATTTTTTCCAAAAGCGGCCACGCACCAAACGTCAAATCAGTGAATACAATTAGAAATTGACTATAGTAAGTACTTGTTAGCCAGTCACGTTTTGTTATTTTTATTTGTTAAGTTTTGTTGTGTGGAGTGTAGTGGCGATGGAGCCACCACCTGAGTCCTACGACTATACTACGACTGCTGTTAATAAACCTATGGTCAAAATATTTAATTCCTTTTATTTCACTTTATAGACCACACTGAAACATACACTATTAATACCCAGATCTGAAAACAGATATTCAAACTCATCATTCAAATAGCTGCCCCGGCCGGGAATTAAACCCGGACGCGGAGCTGTACAGTGTACCTTAAAACATATTGTTTAGTTTCGTATCAAAAACGGTTTCGTATCTTTTTGAGCGGACGGTGCTGGCAACACTTTTCGGTCCGCCCCGTCTGTCATCTTTACGCTAGCGTTATTGGGCGAATTTTAGTTTTAAGTGGTGTAAAATTAAGGTGTTTTGGCGGTTTCTCGTGTGCTATTTGCCACAAGCCATGGCTTCCCTGTGCGGTGGGGAAGTGAACCAAGTGAATTTTGGTTTCGGCTTTTGATTGAGGCCAACGTGGTCGCCGGTAACGTAACCTCACTTTGAGTCGTCGCTCGCGTCGTGGCTGCTGATAGCTACGTATTTTAATTATAAATGATTGGAGGCCAACGGGGCCGATTTCTCATTCGGAGAGAAGTCTTTTAGTTATTTTGTGTTAAAAAACATTATGTGATGTCGAACTGTGAACTATAGTGCAAATTGGAGGAAAGGAGTTCTAGAACGAGCGGATGTTCCAGTGCTGTGAGTTTAGGTTATTCCCTATTCCTGCGCTCCTAAAATATCCTGAATACCTGATTCCTGTCATACTTAAACTCACAAAAACGGCGTCATCGTTTGCTCGGTAAGCAATTCGTTGCTGGGCCCTGTTTAAGTAGATTTTGGAAACAAGAATTTCTCGGCGGAAACTTTCCGGAACAAATTCTCTCATTAAATTTATTTTATTTAGCTATAGTAAAGAGCACTACGAATCGTAGTCAAATGTTGTTCGAGGCTGATCGACCATTTAGTTTTAGATTTTAAGATAACTTTAATTTGCTTCCACTGCGCTAAGATCAGCTTCGGAATCAAACATTTTTGGTAGCAGAGCGTGGTTGCTTTATTGCAACATAGTTAGCCGTAATTTAGTATTAAGCGTGTTTTTATATTACCCACATATTTTATTAATTTTGGAAAATATTGTTTCAGTTTTTTTGTGACTGTATTGTTTGCTTAGTGAACGGTATCTTATCGGTAAGGTCTAGGCCAGTCAACTAACATTTATTTTGTGGTATTTGTTTATTGGTTTTCGTTCTATTAAGTCGAGTGTGTAAAAGTTGGTACCATGGCTCCCTCGATCGCCAGGTATAAGGCTGCTATAAAGACAGAATTAAGGTGGTTTTACTACCACAGCGGCAATGATCGGCCGCGAGGACCGGGAGGACGCGCTCTTGAAAAGTGCACTACAGGCAGATGAACGGGTTCGGGTTGTGTGGAACACCTCACAGAGTGCCTCATGCTCCTTGAGAAGCTCTAACCCTGAAGATAAGGAGCTGGTTGAGGGCGATGTAAGCCAGTGCTTGGAGCTGGCACAGGACATTGCGCAGGCAGCTGCGGACATATCTGAAACGTGACGGAAAGGAAAAGCCATTCCGTGGTAAAGTGGGACAAGGATTACAGGTGCCTCTTCCGCCTGTTACGGTTCCAGTCTTTGCAGGCGATTACGCCGACTGGCCGGCGTTTGAGGACCTGTATAGCAGTGTGGTCACACACGGACGGACATAACGCCGGCGTACAAGATGGCTCAGCTGATGTCCAGGCTACATGGAGAGCCTCATGAATTGCTGACGCATTTGGCTGTCTCGGATAGCAATTATGAGGTGGCGTGGAAGATCTTACCGACCGGTATCGAAACAAGCGCCTGATTGTAGACAGGCTGTTAGACCAGTGGCTGTCAATACCAGCCATAACGCGGTACGGACCTCCGCGAGAAAATCTTCACCCAGTGGTGTCGCGGTCAGCGCACTAGAGCGACAGGGTTTGCCAGTGGCGGGCTACGGTTATATCTTGTCACACAGTGCTTCGCCGCCTGCCGAGCGAAATGGTCGCTCGATTCGAGCAGCTACATGGGGGCAAGTCCTCGGACCACCTCCCGACCTACGAGGATCTGAAGTCGTTCCTCGAGGCCGAAAGCAGGCGAGTGGACGTCCAGGCTGGTGAAGCCCTCGCAAGGAGACCTCTGCCCTCGCCACCCGGAACGGCCGGGTGCACCGGCGCGAGGAGGCAACAGTGGGCAACCCAGGCGGTACAACACCGCATTGGAATCAGGGTGTGCCTACTGCAGGGAGACAGGCCACGGGGTGGCAGCGTGTCAGGAGTTGCTGCGCAGCGGGTTCAGAGGAGACGGGTGTGGCACAGCAGAGGCGTTGGTGTTTTCGGTGCCTGGGGCCGCATCAGGTGCGAGAGTGCCCTTCAAGCACCAACTGTAGGTACTGCCAGGGTGCACACCATCCGCTGCTCTGCATGAATCGCTCCGGAGGCGCCGGGGGCAGCGCTGGATCGGATCAGCGAAGGAGCCTGCCACCAAGGGAGGGAGCAACGCTCCCCACCCCTCCAAGGAGGAGCCCACCTCCGCATCGGTCACAGGGACAGGCAGGGGACGTCAACAGACGGAGCCCACTTACCCAAGGACGGGGACGATCCCCACCACGGCAGCAGGTGCCGGATTGGGGAAGAGCGGCACAGGAACGTGGCCGGACACCCATCC